GCGGAAGGATCGCCGGAGCCCAGCGGGTCGAGGCTGCGGTGGCCGGGAGCGGCTACTGCACTCCAGTCTGGGCGACAGAGTGAGACTCGAACTCAAAAAAAAAGAAAAAAAAAAAAAAGAATGGGAATACTATGTACAGTCCCATGGAAAGATGAAGGGAGACAACAAATGTGCTTGGCCCAGAGCAGGTGTTCAAGGACAGTGAGTTACTTGTTCATTTAATAGTGATTAGTGGACCTCCTACTCCCTGCCAGCCAGTGCCAGACTCTAGGGCTACGATGCCATGATGAAACAGGACCTGCAGCCTTCCTGGAGCTCCTAATCACAAAGATCTCGGGGAGACCAAGATCACCCCAGGCTTGGCAGCAAAGCCCCAGCACTGGAGAGGTAACATATGGGGGTCCCACTGGCCAAGCATGGGGTTCTGGAGAAGGTGATGATTATAATTAGGGTTCTGGGAGGCTGAGGTGGGAGGATCACTTGAGGCCAGGAGTTCCAGACCAGCCTGGGCAATAAAGCGAGACCCTGTATCTTCAAAAAATTAAAAATTAGCTGGACATGGTGGTGCATGCCTGTAGTCCCAGCTACTTGGGAGGCTGAGGCAGGAGGATTGCTTTGGTTGAGGCTTCCGTGAGCTATGGTTGTACCACTGAACTTCAGCCTGAGCGAGAGAATGATATCCCATCTCAGGAAAAAAAAAAAAGAGATAGACAAGTGTTGGCTGGAATGCTCACACACGGCTGGTGAGAATGTAGATCGTGCAGCCACTCTGGAAAACAGCCTGGCAGTTCCTTGAATAGCTAACCCTCGTGCCTTGCCCAGGCTGGCATCCTCACCTTTGGTACCCGTGTACCAGCTGGTACCATATCCTTACTTTACAGATGAGAAACACTGGAGCTCAGAGAAGCCGAGTGACTCAAGGCAACAGAGTACACTGGCCTCAGCAGCCCTGGAGCCCTGCCCTGAATCCCAGTCATTCCTAGCTGGGCCAGCCGTGGGATCCTGGACAAGTTGGACACCTTCCCAGACCCCGCTTTCCCTCCTAAAACAGCCATGTTTAGCTGCCTCAAGCTCACAGCCAATGGGAACATTCAGAGAGCTCTGTGCTGCCTGGCATGGTGAGTGGCCTGTGGACATGGGCGTGGGTGGCCCTGGCTCGGAGGGCTGGCAGGGGCATGAAGTCACCCCAGATCCGACTCCCTGCATCTCCATCTGTGTCAACGAGCAAGCAGCAGCTGCCGATAACCATCATCTGAACCCAGTCCAGTGAATAGCCGCCCCTATCCCTCCCTTGGGGACTATCTGGTGTGGCTACAGATGGCCCCTGGATGACACCGGGGTTACATCTCCATAAACCCACCATCAAGGTGAAAAATCACAAGTTGAATTGTCGTAAGCCGGGACTGTCTGTACTGAGTCTTACACATCCTTACTTTCTGTTTAGTTGTTGATCAGTTTGTCCTGCAAGTTACCCAAAACTCCCCTTAGGGCAGAAGCTGCAAAAAAATCCCTCTGGGCTCAGAAGTTTCCGGCTACATGGTGGTTGACCAGCAGGGGGCAGCACAGGCCCACTCGGCTTTCTAAACTGCCCTGGCCTCGGTCACTGGGCATGCTCAGTCCTGCTGACTGACAGCGGGAGAAACTTCACAGCTAATTTTATGATTTTTTTTTTTTTTTTTTTTTTGTAGAGAAGAGGTCTCGGTGTGCTGCCCAGGCTTGTCTCAAACTCCTGGGCTCAGGCGATCCTTGCACCTCAGCCCCCCAAAGTGCTGGGATTACAGGCATGAGTCACAACACCCAGTCATAAAAAATAAGGGCTATTTTTTAAAAACTCGGTGCTCATCCCTTGCTTGCTGAGAAGACCCACAAGGAAGCAGAATATGGTTAGGGTCCTTCTCCCCACAAAGCTGTAAGTGCCCAGAGGGCTGAGTCCTCTTGCCAATCCCCTGCATGGCTGGGTTCCCAGTGCCAAGCACTCCCCTTGGCACATGGGTTTGTTGAATGACTACATGAGTGTTGGGCTTTGTACTGTGCATTATCCGCATGTAGGTAAAACACTGGAGTACCCCGCATCTGGGCTGTCTGTGGCCTGACACAGGTCTGAATGCTGATGTTCAGAAATCGAGACAAAGAGGCTGGGGAGGTCAGAAAGAACTTACACAGTGGCTGGCGGATAAGGCATGACGGGAACCGAGGAGACGTAAGCAAAGGCCGGAGGGGCTGGTGCCGGGGGCGCAGCCGCCAGATACCACAGTCCAGGTGGCGGCCGTGGTGGCGATCCCGCCTGCTTACTCCTCTGCTTGGGGCTGGAGGTGGAGGGTGGATTCCTTCTCGTGGCGGCGTTCTCTGGGCCTGCTGGGGGACATCACAGAGAGACAGAGTCTGACCCCTTGGCAGGCCCAGTTGAGGATGGAGGGTCTGCCCAGCTCCTCTCTGTGAGAGGGTATGCTGGGCTTCCCATGCCCAGGAGTGCCTCCCCCGGGGAACGAATCCACTGCCCCATTTGCTCCGTCCCAGACAGAAGAGCAGCCACCCGGCTGAACTTGCCCAGGTCCCCGAGACCTGGCCAGGAGAGCCGAGGGTCTGGCTAAGAGAAGGAGCTGAGCATCTGTCCCTACCAGAGGTGGCTGAGCTCGGGTCATCTCCTTGCGGGGGGGACCCAACCCGACCACACAGGGAACATCGAAGGGCATCTGTGGGAGATGGCCCCGGTGGGTCGCTGGTGGCAGCGCCGCCTGGAAGAGGAGGGAGAGAGGTCAGAAGAGGGCCTCGTCTGGATTCTGTCTACATCATTGGACCTGGAGCCCCCAGACTGGCCTCTGGGTGCTGAGCTGTCCTTGGGATCCCCTGCGGAGGGGACGCGCTGTCTCTGTCTGGGTGATGACAGCCAAGACAGTGGGAGCAAGCGTCCAGCCAGCCAGGCCTCTGGAAAGGGCCTTCCTGCGTCATTTCATCAAGTCCCACAAGACACCGGCCAGCTACTGTCCTCATTCTTCCACTTTACAGGTGGGGAAACTGAGGCTCCAAGAGGCCTCAGAGCTGGGAAGTGGCACTCCTGGCATCCCAAGTCCGGGCTCTCTGACTACAGCCCCACAGTGAGACAGGCCCATTGTCCTCACAGGGGCGGCCCCAGAGCAGTCCCCGGGGAGCCAAGGAATCGGAAGAGCCCTAGGGCAGCAGGAGTGGGTACCACTGCTTTCTTCCCATGCAGAGCCCCAGAACCACACCTGGGCGAGTTCTGGGCTGGTTTGCTGCTCTTTCAGGCCTTGGCTCACCCCCCTCCCCACCTACCTGGGCTGAGTCTGTGCCCACAGCCCACTGGGCGCCCATTCCAGCTCTGACCCCTCTGCCTCATCATGTGTTCCTTGGGGACAGGGCTTAGGGTCCAATACAGGTACGTGCTGAATGAATGAATGAATAAGTGAATGAATGAGCAAATGAACGGAGAAGGCTGTCAAGACTCTAGCGAAGGCAGAGCAACATGGGGATGAGGGGGTGGGGCTCTGGAGTCACAAAGACCTGGGTTCGGGCCCTGTCTCTACCGGTTGTAAGCTGGGTGCCTTTGGGCAAGTTACTTAATCTCTCTGAGCCTCAGTGTCCTCAGCTGTAAAAATGGGAATAAGAGCACTGCAGCACTTCAAGAGTACTGGAGTACTTAGTTCGTAATAGCGCTGTAGAATTGAAAGGCTAAATGTATGCAAACTCTTAACATGGTGTCTTCCATACAGAGGGCTTAACAAAGGGCAGCTCATCATCAGTCATGTCACCACCATTGCTTGAAAAGGCCTAGGGACCATTTCTTCCGCGAGGCCCAAAGTCAAGGAACTGGCCTAAGGTCACACAGCAAGTCAGTGGCAGAACTGGGACCAGAATCCAGTGCCCAGATTCTCAGAAAGCACTCTCCCCGTTCCTCCCGGTGGGGTGTGGGGAAAGGATGAGAGCGAAGAGAGGATGGAGGAGAGACAAGACGTCATCCCCAGGGCCAGGCTCCCTGATACCTGAAGCCCACCTAGCAGGGGCTTCTGAAATCAAGGAGGGTGGCTTCAGTCGGCAGCACCTGGAACAACCGGTGTGATGGCAGGCCGGCCAGAAAAATCCTGAGCCTGTGTTGGTGGCAACAGCTCCACTGAGCTCAGGACAGGCCCACGTGCAGCCTACCCTACCCCGAGAGCAAGGCACTAAGGCCTTGGCAGCCCTGGCTGGTCCTCCAGGTGCCATCCCTTACCTGCATCCTGGGTCCTGGTGGGCTGGCAGTGTGGGCAGGCGACTGCACCACTGCCTTTTGGGGTGGTCTTGGGGGACAGGACATGGTACTCCTGGCCTGGGGAGAGAGACAGGAATGGTTGGTACCAGTCTCAGCACAGATGCAGAACTGGGGTGGGGGGATTCTGGTATAATGACCTCCCTCCTCTTCCTCCAGATGCTTCTAATGGTCTCTTCCTGTGTGTGACACGACATGTATGTGCACGGACATGTACATATCTGGGGGTGACACACACATGCACATCTATACACATTTCTGGTCTGTATGTCGTAAGCTCTCTCCAGACTGCTCTGTTTCATCTCAGATCCTAGAACCAGCAGACCAGCACCGGACACACAGTAGCCACGACAAACTCAGGCTGAGGCAGGATTTGCAAGCGGGCTAGGGAGAAATGCTGAGTCAAGTTGTGATAAGAGATGACGGCTGAGGCTACTCCCCAGATCTAGTCTGCTGCTTGGGATCTGAATGGCTAGGGTGTGGGGCCAGGGCATTGACACCCATGCTCGAGTGGCTGTAAAAAAGGTGCTAATCCTAGTTTCTCAGGCTTGTTGGGAGGACCAAGTGAGGCAGCGGGGGTGGGTAGGATGTTCCTACCCCGACCCCCCACCTGCAGCAGGAAAGTACTCCATGTTACTAGCAGGTCGGATAGAATTGCAGCTGTGCACGCAGCCCGGCCATCTCCTGCCTTATCCCTCCCTGAGTCTCAACTGTGAGGGGACCCCCCAAAAAACAGAATTACCTTTCAGAGAGTGAGTCCCTTGTAGCATAGGCTTCCCCCACTAGATAGGTGTTCTAGGAACCCATCGGCATCCGTGGACCAGCTAGTGTTGTGAGAGGCTGCATTCGGCTTCAGTGAATTTTTTTGGGAGATTCCTTCAACACGTTTGCCCATGTCATGATGGGTGATTTATGAGTGCACCTGTTCACACCACGCTGAGTGTTCAGCAGTTTTTGGCCCAAAACAGCATGACCTCGGTGCTCCACCCTCCCTATTCACCTGATCTTGTGACAGGCGGCTTTTTTTGTTTTTCTGGATTAAAAATGTCCTCAGAGGGGAACAATTTGCCTTTGTGGAAGAGGTGAAACAAAAAACAGCAGAAGTGCTAAAAGGCATCAACATTGACATTCATAGATAGTTCTGAGCAGTCTCAATAGGTGTATTGCATCAAACAGAATATTTTGAGGGTGACTTAAGTTTAAACACATAAAAATAAATACATAATCTTTTATAAATAATATCTGGGTTTTTTTGGGTCCCCACTTGCAAGACCTTCATTATGATGTCACCTAAGCTAGCACGAGAGGCTCACCATCCTTTTCCCCCCCGTGCTGTCCTGGTGGCTCAAACTTCATGCTGCGTATGTGGCACTGGGGGCCCCAGGCCCCTCAGCCTCTGTGGTCCCTCACTACACTTCATGGGACCAAGATGCACCCAGGTCTCCTACCTGGTCCCCAGGACCTGAGGTCTGCGGCCCTTCCAGTGATAGACATGCCACCCTGTGGCATCCCACTGTGATTGCTTCCTTGTCACTGCCTTCTCTGCTATGCAGTCAGATCCATGAGGGCAGGGACCAGATCCACATAACCTGCTCACAGTCACCTCAGTGTCGACCTGCTGGACTCAGGCAATCCTTCCGCCCCAGCCTTCCAAGTAGCCGGAACTACAGGCGCATGCTACCTCGCCTGGCTAATTTTTTGATTTATTGTAGAGATGAGGTCTCGCCAAGTTGCCCAGGCTGGTCTCGAACCCATGGGTTCAGGCAAAGCTCTCACCTCGGCCTCCCAAAATGCTGAGATTACAGGCTTGAGCCACTGCACCTGGCCCACATATATTTTTTTAATATTAAGTGCCTGAAATGCCACTGCAGTCATTTCAAGCTTCACTCTGTGCAGGTGCCCAGTTCATGAGACACAGATGCCCTCTGGGAACCTGAGGCAGAAGGTAAGTCAGGTGCAAATGACGCAGCTTTTAGCATTCACCCTGCATTCAAAGACCGGGTGACTATGAACCTCTCAATGTGCCTCCCAGAACCAGATATGGGCCCAGGCAAGGGGGGGGTACCAGAAAGTGTCTGCCGAATGAATGAATGAACAAATACACCAGGAGTTACAGAGGCCATGGTCTCTGCTGGTTTTCACAGAACACATAGAAGATGGTATTTGAATGGCCCCCTGGGTCCATGGAGGAGGAGACCACCCTGGGCATTGCACTCACCCCTGGTCCTACCCTGCCTACCTGTGTAGTGGCCCCGGAAGGTGACCCTGTCCGGCCGTCCAGCACTGCCCATCCCTCTCCTTCTGTCCCGAGCTGCCCGTGGACCGTCCTCAGTGGTCCTGCTCTTCTCGGAGAACAGCCGGGGGGAGGGGGACTCAGATTCCGAGCCTGGGGTGGGAAGAGAGGGGTATGGGAGGGCAGGGAGTGGGTGAACAGTCCCAGCAGGGGGTGTGGGGCACGTTCTGGCTCAGGGGGACCTGGGCTTGCATCTTGGATCTGCCCTTAGGACTAACAGTCGGCATTTCCAGGACCCTGACCTGTGCTGAGTGCTTGTCCAGGCACCGCATGTGCTGTGTCACGTGCCTTTATGGCAGTCCCACAGCGCAGTGCTGTTGTTCTCGCACAGTTAGCTGACCCTTTAACTGTGCAGGCAGGCAAACCACTTAGCCAAGGGCACGCAGAATTCACCTGGGGCTGAACCACAGCCACTGACTCCAGAGCTGCATTCCCTCAGGCACACCCCCTACGCTCCATGGGCTCAGCGTCCTGATCTGCAGGATGTGGGTAGCAGGACCATCTTGTGCGAGATGATGGCTACAAAACCCTCACCGACATCCCCACACAGCAGGTGTGCAGGACATCAGAAGAACATACGCTCCCAGCACCACACAGTGGGTGTGCAGGATGTCAGAAGAGCACTGTGTCCCGAGCACCACACAGTGTACAGGATGTCAGAGCATTATGCCCCAAGCACCACACAGTGGGTGTGCTGGACGCCAGAAGAGCACTAAGCTCCCAGTACTACCCAGTAGGTGTAGAGGATGTCAGAAGTGCACTGTGCCCCAAGCACCACACAGTGGGTGTGCAGGATGTTAGAAGCGCACTCTGTTCCCAGCACCGCACAGTGAGTGTGAAAGACGTCAGAAGCCCACTGTGCTCCCAGCACCACACAATAGGTGTGCAGAACATCAGAAACATACTGCATTCCTAGCACCACGCAGTGTGTTCAGGATGTGAGAAGCACACTGTGCTCCCAGCATCACACAGCCTCAAACACACACAACGCTCTCCAGGTTTCCTTGAATGCTGTTCTGTGGTCTCTGCTGCTGAGCCAACATGCTCTGACTGGTCTGTAGAAATTAGTCCTGGCAGGTGTCACTTACTCAGGAACAGTCGGGGCACATCCCGAGGCACTGACGACGACCTGGCTCTCCACCGACCCGCGGGGACAGTCTGCTTTTTGCCTCCGGGCTCACCAGACAACCTCTCCGTGGACTTACTAGCAAAGGGAAAATGAGACGATGCCACTGTACAAGGTGTGTGCAGGCTCTAAAGAGGACTGTGAGCTGGGCAGCCTGGGGAGATGCTCACGATACAATGGGAGGAAGAGCATGAAAGTCACAACCGAAGACTCTGGGGTCAGTCTCACAGAGGATGGCTCTAAGCCTCTCTGACCCCCAGCCTCCTCATCTGTCAAATGGGGGTAATAAGAGCAATGACCTCAGAGGGTTGATGGAGGGATTCTGGAGACGATGTCCATAAGACCCCTCACCCAGTGCATGCCCATAGGAATACCTAAAAGAAATCAGCTGATTTCCTGTTGTCTTCATAAACGAATAACTGCTGAGTGAGCGGGCAAAAGACGGGCACCTGGAAGTGTGCTAGCTCTTCAGTTGGGGGGTGGCTTCAGGGACATTCATTGTGTTGCACTTTACTATGAACACACAGGTTTAGGTGTCCCTCATGCATCAAAGATGACACGGTGAACAAACATCAGAGTGAAGGACAGAGTGAATGAGCAAGAGAGGGATGTGGCAGGCCTGAGTCCACATGCCTAGGGAGAGCCAGACGCAGCAGACTGGGGGTCCCTCACCTGCTGCTATGGGAGCCCCAGGCAGCGGGGGAATCCGCTGGCCGGTCCCGGGTTCGGGCAGGGTGGTCCAAGGCAGACGCTGGGCGCGCTGGGCTGCCCTGGGGTGGCTGGTGCAGGCTGTCCTCCAGCCTTAGGCGGAGCCGGGACACCTCCTCTTGTAGTTCACGGATGGCCTGGCTGGGGTGGGCGCAGAGACAGAAACAAAGGACAGATGTGCGAGGGGCAGCACTGTGGCCATCCTGGAAGGTGCCTGGGCGCAGTGTGCTCTGACTCTTCCCAGCAGGTTCAGAGTCCAACTCTACTGCCAAAAGATTCTAGAACTTTCCTGTGCGTCACTTTTCATGCTACACATCTTGACATCTTTCTGAGTTTATGTCCCTGTGCATTTGGTGGACAAGGCAGAAACTTTGGAGTTTACCCACCTCATGGGCAGGGTGTGAATAGTTGCTCAGAAATACCAGGCACAAATTCTCAATATAGAGATGAGGATACAGAAGGAAGAGGGCACTGGCTGAAGTTCTACTGGAAAACTGCAACTCTAGGCCAGGTGTGGTGGCTCACGCCTGTAATCCCAGCACTTTGGGAGACCAAGGTGGGAGGATCGCTTGAGCCCAGGAGTTCGAGACCAGCCTGGGCAACATAGCCCGGGTGACAGAGTGAGGACTCCCCCGACTCCCCAGCCTGGACTTAAAACGAAATAAATAACCCATCCAGAATTTCAACCCTAGCTGCCTGTCGGGCACGGCTCCAGCCTTGCAACTTCCTCCTGGGTCCCACCGGAACCTTCCCTACTGCTGCTTAAGCCCATCTCCACTCCTGGCAGAAGATGCCCGTCTGCCTGTCTCTCCAGCCAGACAGCGAGCCACTGGCGGGCAGGAAGGAAGCAGGCTCCCCAACCCAGGGAGAGCCTCACACCTCATCGGCAATCAAGAAACATCACTGAACTGGATCCAGGCTTTGAGAGGAAGCAGAGACATGCTATGCATGGGAGCGGCCAAGGAGACAATGATGGAGTTGGGAGGACCAGCTGAGTGGCCAGAGGCTGCGGGGTGCCGTCTGCAAGGCTGCTAGGATCCCAGGAAAACCCAAACACAGTCCAGTTTCTGGCCGCTAGCATCCAGGGAGCCAGTCCTGTTTACCCTTCTCTGTGACAGTCCCTGCACCTCCCAGGCTTGGCCTGTGAGCATTGCTGGCCCTGTGGCAGACCATCCCACCCAGATGGCATCCCTACAAAAGCCCCTTCACACGGAGCAGCAGCATGAGAGTCTGGCCTTGCCCAGCTGTCCTCTAGGTGCACGCGGCTCCACATATCCTCGGGCTAGCTTCTGGGAAGGGGCTCCCCTTGGGGGCAGTTCTTGCCTGGTGGCCCCGGGGCTTGTGGGTGCCTGTCTCCTGGTGCCAGCTCCAGCAGACATGGACTCTCAGGCAAGTGTGTCAGGAGCAGAGGCCTCTTTCTGGCCGTGTCCTGGCCGCGTGTGTTCCCCTGGCAATCCCCAGGGAGACGCCTGCTGGGGTTTCCAAGACAACCGAGAGGGTGGTGCCTTCCAGAGCTCCTGCCCCAGTTAACTCCTGCCAGGGAGAGCTTGGGCTCCCATCAGAGGTGCCAAAGGAAGGTGTATTAGGCTTGGGGCTTGGTTCAGTCACTTGGGTGTCCCTTCGCCTCTGGGTATTTCTATCAAGATCCCAGGCTTCCTCACTTCTCCCTGGTAACCAATGCAGCTGGCACTTAGAATCCATTTTTCTTGGCAAATGTACTCCCCCATCTCCACACACGGCATCTGCATCCAACTGCCTGGCCAGCTGGAAATCCGAGTCATCCTTAGACGCCTCTCCTCCCTGAGCACCCCCTTAAGTTATCAGCTACCAAGTGCTGTGGGCCCGGCTGCAAAAGTATTTCTTCTCAGATAGAGTCCTACTTACCCTCCCAGGCCTGAGTGTCTTTTCTGGGTGAGGCAGCCTTCCCTGCAGCCTCTCAGTCTCTGTTCTTACTTTCCTGGTGGCCAGAGACCTCCTGTTTTTTTTTTTAGCCAGGTCTCACTCTGTTGCCCAGGCTGGAGTGCAACACTACAATCATAGCTCACTGCAGCCTCGACCTCCTGGGCTCAAGCAATCCTCCTGCTTCAGCCTCCTGAGTAGCTGGGACTACAGGCACATGCCACCACACCTAGCTGATTTTTTTTTTCTTTTCGTAGAGATGCGGTATCACTATGTTGCCCAGGCTGGTCTCAAACTCCTGGCCTCAAGTGATCCTCCTGCCTAGGGAGGGGGACTCAGACAGGGATTACAGGCGTCGGCCACCGCACCCAGCCTCAGAGAACTCTTTCTGATAGACCTGCACCTGCTGCTCCCCTGCTTAAACTCACACTTACAATGAGCCTTTATACATTCAAGGAATATTGGGTGACCATTTCCCCTGAGCTGAGCTGCCAGACACCCAAACCTCTGACCACGGCCTTCAGGCCTGCACGGCCTCCCCTAGGTCTCCCCCTCCACCCCTCGGCCCTACTGCTCCGCACCCACCACCTCATGCTTGAGGATCTGGCCAGAGTAAACATTTGGCTCCTCATAGGTGCCAGGCTCCCTTTCACCTCTAAGACTCTGCACATGCTGTTCCCTCTGTTTGAAATACTTTTGTATTTCTGTTTCTTCTGACCTCAGCAGAGATACCACTTCCTCCAGGCAGCACTCCCTGAAGCCTCTCACTGGGTTACATGCCCTGTCCCTGTGCTCCCAGAGTCCTTTGAGCCTCAGCCATTGCCGTGCTGGAGGTGCAACGGCCTGTCTGTCCATCCCACAAGGTAGAGAGCCTTACAAAGCCCAGGGCAGTGTCTTGCCCTCTACCAAACTCCCAGGCACACCACAGACACACAAGCCTCTAATCCTGCTGATGTCAGGGAGACCGCAGGGGTAGACCTGTTAAACTCAGACCAGGAGGTCAAATGCCGGCAGCTGGGTGCAACTCTGCAGTAACAACAGGACAGCCTCACGACTGCCCAGGCCAAGGCAGCCTCAGGATGGGCACTGTCAAGTAGTTTTCCCAGTGCACCCCGGGACACACATCCCATCTGGCAAAGCCACGGGATGGATTATTGGCAAAAGCAGCTAAGAGGACGGGGTAAGAAACCGACTAGGCTATTTTCCCACTTCTGTTTGACCAAGTAAGGAGCAACCTACCTAATAGAAAAACTGCACATGGACTAAAAGAAAAAAAATAAAGAACTGAAACTCCTAAGCACAGTAGCATCCTGGCTCATACAATGGCTGAGCACACTGCAGGGAACATAGCCCTGAGAAGGACAGACTTATCTTGGAAGGAGATGTCAGGAGTGAGGTCCCAGCACCAGAAGGCAAACCTTAAATCATTCCTCACTGGCTGGAGAAGTGTCCGCGAGGTCTAGCTCAGCGAGGTCCCATGGAGACAGCCCTGAGTGAGGGTCAGGGCACCGGGGCCCATCTGGCTCCCAGCACAACCACCAGCAGCTGTGAGAGCCAGGTAGGCTCCAGCTCTAACCCACAGCATCTCGTTTCCGTCCGCACGGAGAGTTTGGATCCCCAGAACCCAAGTCTCTTACTTACTCTCGCCCTGCCCTGGTGAGCAGGAGGTTGGGGGTGATCTCTGTCGGCCCACCGGGCAGAGGGGCAGCTGCAGGGGCCGGGGTAGGGGGCGGGCTGATTGTCCTGCTGGGGAGGAGAAGTTCAGAAATCCGCTTGTGCCTCTCGAACTCTGAGCCGGGGGATGCTAGGGAGGCAAAGTGAGACCTGAGTGAGTCTGAGCTGGGAGGACCCCAAAGCTCAAATCTGTGTGGGTGGGATGATGTGGGGATGGGGGAATGGAGGGATGGTGCCCAGTTTGAGGTCACAAATGAAGTTCCTGATGAGGCCCATGACCCGCTGACCTCAAAACCAGAAAACCTGGTGGGAAGTAGGCTGCTGAGCGGGACCTTCTGAGCCGCTTCCAGCCAGAACCCTTCCTTCCACCCACCATGACACCATCCAACCCAAGTCTTAGCTTCTCCTGCAAAGAGCTAAGTGCCCCTTCACTTGGGGCCCCCAGAGTCTGTCACCATCTCGCCATGTGGTGTGGAACTGGCTTCAGAGCCTCCGTGCCTCTCTGAAATTACAGTCACACTTTTCCAAATGAATGTGTTTCTGGGAGAGCACTAACGACCTTTAACTCGCCTCTCCATGGGATGGGCGACTAAAGGTTAGAAGTCATTAACCTGGCTCACGCATTAAAAGCAATAAACTCCTTGGAATTCTTAATTCAGCAATACAGAAAGGAACAAACGACTGATACGTAAAACAATCCAGAGAAATCTCCAGAGAATTATGCTGAGCAGAAAAAGCCAATCCCCAAAGGTTACATGTCATATGATTCTATTTATAGAACATTCTTGAAATGATCAAATTATGGATATGGAGAACAGATTGGTGGTTACTAGGTGCTAACAAAGGGGTAGGGCGGGAGGAGCATGAGTGTGCCTTTAAAAGGGCAACCACAAGGTCCTGTGAGGATGCACATGTTTTGTATCTTAGCTGCATCAGTGTCAACATCTGGCTGTGATGCTGCACTGCAGTTCTGCAAGATGTTATTATTGGGGAAACTGAGTAAAGGCACATGGGATCTCTGTGTATTATTTCTTACGACTGCATATGAATCTACAATTGTTCTAAAATAAAAGGCTTTATTTGCCGGGCTTGGTGGCTCAGTCTGTAATCCCGCGCCTTTGGGAGGCTGAGGTGAGTGGATTGCCTGAGCCCGTGGGTTCAAGACCCGCCTGGGCAGCAAGACCTCATCTCTACAATCAATCAAAAAATCAGCCGGGTGTGGTAGTGCATGCCTGTAATTCCGGCTACTCGGAAGGCTGAGGCGGAAGGATCGCCGGAGCCCAGCAGGTCGAGGCTGCGGTGGCCGGGAGCGGCCACTACACTCCAGTCTGACCGACAGAGTGAGACTCCAACTCAAAACAAAACAAAAGGCTTTATTTTTCAAAAAATTTTAGAGCCGGGCATGGTGGCTCAAGCCTGTAATTCCAGCTACTTGGGAGGCTAAGGCAGGAGGATCGCTTGAGCTCAGGTGTTTGAGGCTGCAGTGAGCTATGATTGTACCACTGCACTCCAGCCTGGGTAAGAGAGTGAGGCCCTGTCACAAAAAAATAACATTTTAATTTTTTTTTGAATTGGAGTCTCACTCTGTTGCCTAGGCTAGAGTGCAGAAGCACATTCATGGCCACACCAGTGTCAACCTGCTGGGCTCCGGCAATCCTTCCGCCTCAGTCTTCCAAGTAGCCAGAACTACAGGCACGCGCTACCACACCTGGCTAATTTTTAAGTTTGTTTATTGTAGAGACAAGGTCTCGCCAAGTTGCCCGAACTGGTCTCGAACCCGCAGGTTCAGGCAATCCACTCACCTCAGTCACCCAAAGTGCTGGGATTAGAGGCTGAGTCACCGAGCCCAGCAAAAATTTAAAATTTTAAATGACAAAACTTCAAAACTGGTAAAGCTAATTCAAGGTATCAGAAATCAGAACAGTGGTTACATTCGGGGAGGCGACAGTGACTAGAAGGGACTTGAGTGGGATTCTGGGGTTTAGATCCTGGTGAGTTTCTTGGTCTGTGTTTGCTTTGTGAAAATTCATCAGTTTCAGTTCTTTCCTGCATAATTTGTTCTATTTCAATAAATAATGTATATTTTCTAAAGGTCAAAAATGTAATCATATACGAGAGATGATACAGACCTGGAAAGTGCTCATAATACAGTGTTTAGTAGGAAAAGGGGGATACCAAAAATTCACATATCACATGATCCCATTTCTGTTTTAAGTACAGGTAATGTATCACTTGACATCAGGGATACGTTCTGAGAAATGCCTCACTGGGCAATTTCCTCGTCATGTAAATATCCCAGAGTGCACTCACACAAACCTAGATGCACAGCCTGTAGCCTCTTAGATGCCTAGTAGTTAGTTAGTTACTCCATACAGTAACATACTATACAGGTTTGTAGCCCAGAAGCAACAGGCAGGACCATATAGCCAGGGCATTTTTTTTTTCTCTTGTTCTCTTTTGTCTACCTCATCTGTAATTTCAAATTGCCTCACAATGAACCTGGATAATATGTCATATTCTCAAAGGCAACACACATTTTTTTCTGTGTGTTTGATTTTTGAGCCCGTGAAGTTCTAGGCAGCACAGACCCAACCACTCACCCATCTGGGTTGCCAATGTTGCTTCCAGGCTGTGGCTGGGCGCCCTCTGCCGGAGAGACCTGCTGGAGCCGGAAGGGTGTCTCTGGGCTCGGCTCCTGGGTGTGCTAGGCTCGGCAGCTCTTCTGGGGACCGAAGAACCCCTGGCCTTGGGGTAGGAGGCTCCATCCCGGGGCGCAGACACAGTGGCGGGCTGGGATAATGTTCCCGGGGTGCTGGGGGATCGTGGAAGGGGGAACCCATGGAGGCCATACAGAGAGAGGCCTCAGGCCGTGACATCTGAGTCCTGGCATGCACTGACCCAGTGAGCTCGCAGGCTTCAGGACCCTGCACCCCCGGCTATGCTGTTTCTGAGGACGCATCGCATTATACACCTGCCTCTTTATAAACCGCCTAGCAGTGCCCCTGCCAGCCTACATATCAAAGTGATAAAGCTCCATTTATTTTTCAGAATATATAAAGAGAAGTAGAATCTCCAACCCTTCTTCGCATGCACCCTGGGGTTGCCATGTGGGCCTCCCATGGGGCCTGCACCCAGCTGAGGAGGCCTGTCTGCACTGAGGCTCTATCATTCCACCCTTCACCCACATCCCTCGGCCCTCTGCCATCCCTTTGGGACCCACAAGGCCACCCTGAGTGCCCCTCAGCCTCGTCTTCTATTCACCTCACGCTGCCTTCCCTGGAGTTTTTTTCATTCACCCATTCATTCATTCACATGCTCAACCAATATTAATTTCCTGTCTGCCGCTAATTGGGTGAGGCTGCTGAGTCGCTGGTCCTCTCTGAACCCGTTTCCTCTACCAATAAGATGGGAAAAAGCAGCCATTGTTGGGGGATGCAACGAGGGCCTAGGAATGCCCAGACCATCCCATCCTGTTCTGGTACACCACAGGATCTTTGATTCCCAGGGACGTGGCACGAATGGGACAATGGTGGGGTCCCAGAGTACCTGCTGTGGGAGAGCCGGTGCTCTGGGGTCTGGGTGAAGGGTGACACTCTGCTGGTTTCTGAGCCCACAAAGCCACTGTCCGTCTCAGGGGATACCATCCAGGGCTCCTGAAAGAGGCGGTGTCCCCATTGGTCTGAGGAATGTGCCCCAGGCACACTGGGAAGCCCTTCCCAAGTCCTGGTCTGGGCTTCACATTCCAGAAGCTTCTAACAGCCAGGCCCTTGGACCCCAGCACAGGGCTCTGGCTAACAGCAGGGACTCCGATCCCCAGAGGACCCTAGGCAAGTCCTGCCTCCCTGAGGAGTGGTAGCCAGAGCAGATGGGGACTAGTGAGAGGAGGAGAGAGCCTCATTCCCAGGGTCTCCCGGTGGGGTCTAGAACACCATGGTCTTATCTGGCTGTAGAGATGCTCAGGCCCAATGCACTGGGAAAACAAAACCCATCAAAGGTGCAAAGCTCCTCCCCACTGGGTCTAAAGCATAGCACAAAGAATACACAGAACCACGCAGGGGCCTGCCCCCAGGGAGCTCACAGTCTAGGGCAGAGACTCCCGGCCACAGGCTCATGGTGTGTGTGAGAGGATGTGCAGCATAAGTCACATTTCCACAGTGGGCTGTGACCCCACTATAGTTTAAGAATCGCCACTCTAATAGCACAAATAGCACAGAGCGGAGAACTCGTGCCCCAGCTGTGATGAGCAGGCTCAGAGAAGCACAGGCAATGGGCTAGAGCTCTCAGAGGAGGAATGGGAGCTCGGGCAGAGGGCTGGGCTGAGGGTGCCATCGGGCAGAAGCCCTGCGTGTCGGGCAGATTGTGGTGAGCTGGGACAGGAGCAGCAGGCATTCCAAGAAGGAACAGCACAAGCAAAGGCCCAGGGGCAGGAAGTTCAGGAAACCCGGGGTGTAGCATGGACACTTACCTCCAGATGGGGTCTGCCAGCTTGGCGCAAAGACTTCTGGGGAAGACGCTCAGAGATGCCACTTCCCTCCAGGCTGGTCATGCTGCTCTGGTGGGAGGTTGCGGTTTTGGTGCCCGGAGGCTGGGGTGGCATGCCGGGACCTGGAGGCGCTGCCTTGGCCTTGCCCGGGCCCGGCATGTGCCTATCTCTGGCCAGGGAGGTCTGGAAGCCCGATGGCTTCACAGACACCATCTGTTCCATGGCCTCTCTGGCAGAGAAAGAGAAGAACATGGCCCCTGAGTCCTGCCGTGAGCCAGGCAGCCCTCTCTGAACCTCATTTTTTGTAACTGTAAAATGCGGGTGCCGTTTTACATTGACATTGACCCACCCAAAACACCACAGAGGAAACAGTGTGAAAACAGGTGAGTTAAGGCAGCTTCACAGCTGCAGAAGCTGCACACCACCCCCGAGTGCAGCCACTTCCACACACTTCCATCCACAGAGGGACTTCAGGGCACCGTTATACACAGAAGACCAGACTGCCATACCGCAAATAGAAGCCAACTTCAAAAATAAACATAAGAAACCCAAAAACAATATCATTCTATTCTAGATAGATTCAGTTGCCTGCTAAAGGCTCTGGGCCAGAGGCCAGTTTGTATGCTCTCTTGTGCACTGTCTCTCTGTCTTTCACTCTCTGTCTTTCTCTCTGTTGCTCTCTGTCTCACACTGTCTCTTTCTTTCTCTGTCTCTGTCTTTCGCTTTCTATCTCTGTGCTGTCTCTCTTTTCTCTTTCTCTCTTTCTCTGTCTCTCTTTCTGTCTCTTCTGTCTTTCTGTCTCTCCCTCTCTTTCTGTGTATGTGTCTGTCTCTCTCTCTCTCTCTCCCTCCCCCACTCTCTCTTGCTCTCACTCTTTTTCCAAAGGAAGATCAAGAGAGGTGTTACAGACATAATAGCACTAACTAAGACTTTCTCCTCAGTGTCCCTAGAAGGTCAGAAACTGAAGAGGAGAATCAGTGTCTGTCCTACTGAAAATCACATCCTGTACCACCCAGATCAGTGGTGTATGAGCCCCACCGTAGAGAGGCAGGGCAAACTGGCCACATTTTAGCTGTGAAGACCTGTCTAGCTCCCTCTGACAATGCTCGCCCCTGTGGTTTTGGAGTGGCATGGGATACTGCAGGTAGGACTCAGTGACTTACTCCAGGGGAGCCCCGTGACTCTTCTCAGCCTGTGCTGGGTGCTGCCTTGGGGGGACCCTGGTGGCCTCTGCCTTCCCTGGAGCCAGAGCCAGACCGTCAACTTCCAGGTTATGGCCTTCCTCTTCCTCCTCCTCCTCTGTCCTCATGGCTTCCGGCAGAGACTTCACGCTCAGGTACCTGCAGAAGAACGCATGGAGGGATGTGACCTCTGTTCAGCAGGGCAGCCAAAGTCCAGGTGCTGCCAGACACCCCGGTGTACTCACCGTTCCAGGAGGCCATGGAAATCCTGCTCCATCTGCACCTCCTTGTGCCTGAGTGGGCCCGGGAGGTCCCGTGGCCTGTCCTCCACCCCGCTGCTGCCAGAGCGCACCTCCACATCCACGTGCGATGGGCAGGGGCCAGTGGTGGTGGCGGTGGCGGCGGGCTGGGGCCAGAAAGGTGGAGGGGCAGAGATTCAGCAGATACTTCAATACCACTTTTAAGCACCCACCTCATGCCAGGCTCGTGCTGGGTGCTGAAGAGTAAGAAATACATTAGGCTCAGTGAGCCCACCACCCTCTCATGGGTGTGCAAAGAACAGAGGATGGACTGCATGATTTCAATACTGGTTGTCATGAATTGAGCACCTACTATATACCGGGCACCAGACAGACGTCACTTCACAATTCTACCAGAACGCACGGTTATCAAAATCCATTTTAGACAGGTAACTGAGGCTCAAATGATTTGCCCCAAATCACACAGAAGCAAGGAACAGAACTGAGATTTGAACCCAGACTTCCTACAGAATCAACCCTCCTGATCTTCTATTCCAGCCAGCCACCCCAGCCTCCCTCAACACCTTAACTGCAGGCATGCAGGGATCCTCAATTCTATGCACCCAGGCTTTCCCTGTTGGTGCATGCAATGCCGCCTGCTAGCGTTTTCCCACCCTCCAGGGCAGAGCACATTGTGAGAAGACTTCCCCCAAATGCCTGGTCAGCAAGACCTCGGCTACTACGTACACGCCAGCATCTGTATATGCACTGGGCCTTCTCTCCAGCCCGCATCCTAGACAGACAAATCTTTGAAGCACAGGCAACGGGAGTCTGGAGACACAGAGACTCCACTGCTGTCATCTGTGTGACCATGCTACACTCTGTTTGCTCACCTGTAAGACGGAGAGACAGTTGTCTCTCAGAGTGCTGTGGTGTGGGCTGGAGAGAACCTCCACAAAGTCCCTTCCATGCATGGCCCTGTCTAGGCCTTGCCCCATCATCTGTGCAGTACTACAAGCCTGGAGGTCATCCCTGGCTCCCTCCCTCTCTCACTCCTGTCCTCTCAGAGTACCTTTTCAGCCTCTCTCAAGGCCACGCATATCTCTCCCTCTGTCCTGCCCCCTCCCCAGCATCCCACAAATCTAACCACAAGACCTCATATGTCATCCCCTGCTGAAAACCTGGCAGAGTTTACGATCATGGCCTCCATGTGACTGATAAGCCCCTACATCACCAGGTCCCTGTCTGCTTCTCCAGCCATATCTCAGATTATTATACCCCCCTCGCTTTCCATATGCTAGCCACAGGACCTTTGCACAAGTTGTTTTCCCTGCAGGATGGGTTTTCTCCTTCTGTACCTAGTAACATCTATTTATCCTCAGATCTCATCTAAACATGACTTCTTCAGGCAATGTTTCTTTGACCTCCCTGCCAAGCTCAGGCATGGTCCCCTGTTATCTACTCTTGTAGAACCTCATAATGCTCCTTCAGAGCCCTGATCAAAATTTTAATGAAATAACTGTGTAACTAGTTCAACTCTAAGAAAACTCTGTGAAGGCAGAGGCCACGTCCCCACTGTCCCCCACTCCACTGAATCCTGACCATGTGTCACGGGTCTTGGCATATGGTTCACATTGCATAAATCATAGTGAAGAAATTAATGAATGAAGAAATGAGAGGAGGAACAGCCGATCTGGTTGAGCAAAGAGGTACCTCAGTGTAGGGAATCTTGACGGCAGGTGTGGGGGCTTGTCCAGAAGGAGGGCGGGGAAAGGGCATGGCTAGTGCGCTGTCCAGAGCTGGGCCTGGCTCAGCCGGCTCAGGCTCATCTTGGGGCTGGTCCATGTGGTCCTTCAGCTCTTCCAGGAAAGCTCCCAGTTGGTATATCTCTGCCTCCAGCTCCCTGGAATGGAGAAACATCAGCACCAAGAACCTGGGATGGCAGCTACATCAGGTCAGCTCAGGAGGCCAGGTGTCAGAACAGAGATCCCAGGGAATGCCCATTTAGGGTCAGTTAGATGATGCTGAGAACTCAAAATAGAACAAAATAAAAGATGACTCCATGGGGAGTTAGGAAGCCTAAGTTCCCTCCACCATCCACAGGCCATGGACCTTAGATAAATCTTGCTTCCCTCTGGTCTCAGTTTCCCTATTAGCCAACGAGGGTTTCAGTTCTTATTTGCAAAGTGTCTTCTCATTGCGGCGCATTCAAAGGAACACAAATCTCTGGGTATGTTGCTCATTGGGATAGGATTTCTCTGCTCCCTTGAGTGCAAGTTATGAGGGCAAAGTGCCTCCCTCCTGGAGGCCGAGGAAACCCAGGGGTCTGTCCCTTCTGTGATTCTTGGCCTCCCTCCACAGCACGTACCTGCTGGGATCAAATTCTCCAGGCATTCCCTTGGAGCCAGCAAGCTTCTGGGCACAGGGACTCGCTCTACAGGCCTGTAAGTACTCCTCCTCCAGGGCCGCGTGGGCAGCCTTCAGCCGCCGGAAGCCCTGAAACCAGACCAGGCCAGGGAGACCTGAGTGCTCAGCCCCTACGGGCCCTGTCCCTGCAGACACAGTGGATGAGAGGGCTCGCAGAAGGCCACGGGAGACGGAGGCTGGGTGGAACCTTTGGAAGCTGCCTGCTGTGATCAAACTCTCTGCCATCAGACAGGCACAGCAGAAGCTCCAGAGGGTGCCGGGCCTTCCTCAGGAGACTTATAAGGAGCCTGATGCACCATGACAGTCACAGTGGTCAAATATACTATCACTATGTCCCTATCAGGACTTAGTCTTTGAGAGATCCTGGAGCCCCATTCTTGATTTGCAAAGCCGTGGGCTCCAGAAAGTTAGTCATTCTCCTCCAGAACCCTTAAAGAACATCAAGACAGAAGATGTTATCACCATCAGACTATGGAGACGAGGACGAATGCTGGCTGAGTTTCTAGGCCCAGTGCTAAAGCGCTTGGCACTTAAAGCGTTAGTCACTTAATCTTCAACACAAACATAACGAGAGGGGTCATTTACCATCTTGGTCTAAAAAAGGAGAAAACGGAGGCACAGATAGGCCATTTAAGCTGGTGAAGACCACAGGGTGAGTGAGTTGTAGGGTCCAAATGTGGACCCAGGTGTCCTGGCTCCGGAACTCATGGTCCCCCTGCTCTGCCGGCCTCCCACCGGAAACACGACAGGAGGCGGGGTCCTCATCCCTGTCTCCTTGCCATCCATATCCTGGGCGATTCTGAGGTCGGCTAGAAGCCAGGAACAGGCTAGAATCCAGGCCTCAGCCACACCCGACCTTCCAAAAGCCCTCAGTCTCCCTGGACATGGGGGAGTTAGGACAGGGAGGGAGAAAACGAATGGTTTTAATTCTCAAGGGCCTGGATCACCCACTTGATACAGTACACGTCACACATCATATAACTGGAAAATGTATGTGATATTCACACAGGAACATATTCCTGCCATAACACATTTTTATAAACTGGGTGTGTGGCGTTTGCCCCTCCAGGTCTTCCCTTAGCTGTTCCCCACCCTGCTCTGTGCTGAGCATGGGGGCCTCCCGACCCACTGGCTTCCTGTTGGGTCTAATGGGAGGACCTGCCAGAGATCCCAGAGCAGGAGGAATAAGACTTGAGGATAGAAACAGCTCCACGGCTGTTACTTCCTGGGGTTCCTGGTCCTTGCGGGGTCCCCTGAAGCTGCCTACACTGTGTGACAGTCCCTTCCTTTGAACCCTACACTCACAGCTTTGAGAGCTCCACCTGTTCTCTACCAGGACCCTGGCGATATGGCAGGAATCTAAATCGTACATCAACTACAGTGATCTCAAACTCAAATAATGTTCTAGTAAGGGTCTCTTCCCTGCCAATCCTTTTTATAATTGGGGTCTCACTGTTGCCCAGGCTGGAGTGCAGTGGCATAATCAAGGTCCACCGCAGTCTGAACCTCCTGGGCTCAGGCAATCTTTCCGCCTCAATCTCCCAAGCAGCTGGGACTACAGGCATGCACCACCGTGCCCGGCTAAATTTTTTTTTTCCTGACATTTTGTAGAGATGAGGTCTCGCTATGTAGCCCAGGCTGGTCTTGAACTCCTGGGCTCAAGAGATCCTCCTGCTTCGGCCTCCCAGAGTGCTGGGATACAGGTGTTAGCTACCACACCCGGAGTGCCTTGCGGGGTTTTGGTGATGACAGAAAAAACACTGTATTCTAAGGTTTCCCACGGTGCCTGGAATGCCACCATCACTGCTTAACAAGTGGTAACTACTGTGACACAATGATCATTGTCATGGGAAGCAGGCAGGAGCTGTTTGCTCTAAAAGGAGACACTGTGTCTGCAATTCTCTGGGTCTGTTCTGTGGCAGAAGAGACTTCAGAGACTCAGCTATGAAAGACAGCCCCATCTGGCAGCTCCATGGGCATCTCCTGAAACGGGCGTTACCTTGAGTTGGTCCTGGGGTGTGAGCTGTCCCGCCTGCATCAGTCTTTCAAAGGACTCCACCTTTGAGAAAGGGGAAAGAAATAGCTCTATTAGTCCAGACCGGCAGATGCCCACCCTCAGCCCCATTTGTGCTTTGGTACAGAGGCTGGGTCTGGCCTCAGGATGTGGCGTTTCTATCAAGCATGGGGATAGGGGTGTTAGACACAGACTGGCCTCAGCCAAGGTGGCCTCAGGAAAAATCAGAGTGGAGCATGCAGGAATTGATAGACCACATGGCACACTCACACATGTGCCTGAAGACCTATAAGCCAGGATGTTTCTTGCAGCATGGATGGAAAGGAGGGGACAAGAAAAATGCCTGTCTGGAATAGTATGTAGCCACCAACAAGAGGAAGGGGCAGCTGCATGCTCTAAGACATAAATGCCTACAACATTTATTTTTTCAGTGTCAAATCAAGGTACAGGACAGTGTTGATAGCATGCTATCATGTGGACAAAAGAGACAGGAAGTAAAAAGGGAACATGTAAACACATTTGCTTGTATAAGTTAATTCTAGAAGGATTCGAGAAACCCAAACATTACTTGCTTCTGGGGAGAACTGGCTAGGTGGAAGACAGGAAAGGGGGATATTTTCTACTGTGTGTATTTTGTAACCTATTCAAATGTAGGATATTTAAAAAGTCAAGGTACAGTATAGCTTATACACTTCTGCAACATTTCTATAAATGCATGTGTGTGCATCGAACATTTTTGCACAGGTGGAAGACTTATTTTTTGCTGAACATGCCCTTATACTGTGTGAAGGTCTTTATAGTGTGCATCTATTACCATGTACGTCTCAAAAAAATTTTTTTTTGAGTCAGGTGCCCAGGCTGGAGCGTAGTGGCACAATCATGGCTCACTGAGACTCAACTTTCTGGGCTCAGGTGATCCTTTCACCTCAGCCTCCTGAATAGCTGGGACTATAAGCATCCGCCACCATGCCCTGCTCATTTAAAAAAATTTTTTTTTTGTAGAGATGAAGTCTCGCTATGCTGCCCAGGCTGGTCTCAAACTCCTGGCCTCAAGCAATTCTTCCGCCTTGGCCTCCCAAAGTGCTGGGATTAAATGCACGAGCCATCACACTCGGCCTCAAAATTATTTTTAATTAGGAAAAAAAGGGCAAAGGATGATTTGTGGTTCTTTTTTAGGAAAGCGTTGAAAAATAAAATAGACATTGATATGCTATAATATTATATCATTTATCTAATATGTGAGCTAGAAATGTAATATGAGCTACATGTGCAATTTAAGATTTCCTGGTAGCCACGTTCACAAAGGCAAAAAGAAACAAGTGAAATTAATTTTAATAATGTACTTTATTTAACCCTAAATATCATATCAACATATAATCACTATAAAGAAATTATCAGGGGGATATCTTACATTTTTTCTTTGCACCAAGTCTTTGAAATCTGGTGTGTGTTTGACACTCACAGCATGTCTCAACTAGGGACATTCTATGTTGAGTACTCAACAGCCACATGTGGCCAGTGGCTCCTGGGCCAGACAGCGCCTGGATCATCAGGGGTCAGCTGGCACCCCCGTTCCTGCTCAGTGTGAGGACTCGGCTTTGTTTTATTTTACGGACACACATAAGTCCAAGAAATGCCACTCCCGTACAGGACCAAGAATGGGTGTGATGAAAAGGAACGATGCACTGGTGCAGGATGCTCTAGCATGGAGGAGCCCTCAAAACGCCACATGGGAGAAGTCAGACATGAGAGGACGTTGTCCAGATCTCTTTATACGAGATGTCCAGGACTGGCAAGCCACAAAGAGGGAACACAGAGGAGCAGCTGTCAGAGGCAGGGAGAAGAGGGAACAGGAGTGACTGCTTGATAGACATGGGCTTTCTTACTGGGTGATAAAAATGTTCTAAAACTGATTGTGGTGATGATTGCATGAACTGTGAATATACTAAAAACTACTGAAGCACACCCATTAAATGAGTGTATGGCATGTGAATTATATCTCAATAAAACTGTCACCAAAAGAAAGAAAGAAAGAAAGAAAGAAAAAAGAAAGAAAGAAAGAAAAAGTAAAGAATGGTGGTGTTTCTCTGAAGGAACTTGCGTTATGGACATAGCAGTGCATGTAACTATTGCATTTCCCTTTTTGCGTTGGCAACTAGGAAGCTCAAAGCTAAACAAGTGACTCTGTTAAAGTGCTCAGGGTCCAACAGCACATTTTGTTTACTACCTTTACCCTAAGTTAATTAATTTTGTTCTTCCCTTATTTCCCTTATGCCTCGGTTTCCTCACTTCTATTTTCAGAATAAAGTTAAAACATGCATCTTTACAAGGAGCTTTAAAGCACTTTTGGAAGATGGTCAATGAGTAGATAAAAGTAGACCCACAAAACAACTCACAGTTCCTTGGACTGTGTGATGAAAAGATAAAGGCCCTTGGAGAGGTAACTGAGAATTGACTTCTAAATAAAATGCAATGAAGAAAATAGGGTGATTCATCCTGAAGAGGAAAAGGCTGAGTGGAGATTCTGCTAACCTCCAGGATCCAAGAGGAATGGAGTCTCCTGAGAGCCCACCAGGAGATGCTTTCTGGCACAACCGAAGGGATTCTGAGGAGATACAATGCCCATAGTAGGGCTGAACCTAGCACTGGTGACGAGGAGGAGGCTGGGGCCATGTGGCTTTGAAAATCAGGGAGCAGCTCCAGTTTCTGAGACAGGGAAGGGTGTCTCTCCCAGACGGCCTCTCGCCTGGGCAGCCAGAGGCTCTGATTCCTTCCGGCGAGCGAAATCTCACGGGGCAGAGCTGGGATTCCCACCCACCTTGGCCAGGAACTGGCTGGCCTGAGAGGCCAGTGCCTGGGTCCACTCAGCAGAGGGCTGGTCCTCGGTGATGCCCTGGTTCTCCAAAGGCCTCCCTGGGGCGGGCGTGCTGGTGGGCGAGGAGGGGCTCAGGTCTCCTCGAGTCGATGCCCACCCTGAAAGACACAAATGCTAAGACATGGGGCCAAGGACAGTGCTTCCCGGGGCTGCAGCTCAAAACCACTACCTGCAGCACCAAGTTACAGTCCCGTTGTTCTGTGCGGTCTTCACGCTAGCCCATGGAAGTGGGCCCGGCAGAGCATTGCCCCCATTTACAGGAGAGAACAAGGTTCAGATCTGCTCTGATCACATAGCTAGGAGCCGCAGGCCATGCCAGGCCTCTGAGATCCCGGTCAACAGTGTGGGCTGTAACTCAGGAAGACCTGGGTTCAAATCCTGACCCTCCCCCTTGTAGCTGTGTGATCTTCAGACTTCTTCTTAACTGGGGTAACAACGGTATGTACCTTGCCAGGCAGGTTGATGTGGGGATTAACTGAAGTCTCACGTGTCAAGGCTGAGTACAGGGGCCGGCCCTGATGTGGGCTCCCCAAGGACAATGTTCTTTGTTATCCAGGTCATCCCAGGTCACCAAGATGCCAAGTGGCAGAGCCAGGGCTTCCCCCAGGCTGCTCTGGCTCGAAGCAGGACGCTTTCCACATCTCTGTTTGACTTCACGTCAAAGAGCCCAGGGCGGTCCTTGCCCCCCTCCTTCCCTGGCCTGGCCAGTGCCCTCCCCAGGTGAGCTGAGCCCCCACCCAGAGCAGACTCACAGGCAGAACCACGGCTTCTAGTCTCCCAGCCTCACCTGAGGCCTCAGAGGCCCGGGGGTCCTCGGCGGGGCCCGGCCACCACTGTGCGGAGCGGGGTTGTGGAATGGTGAAGGCTAAGACCTTGGTCCCCTGGGGCACCGTTCCTGCGTGGACACCATGGCTGGGCTGGGGCGGGTCCGAGTATAGGTTCACCTGTGGGAGAGGGGAGAGGGCAGAGCCCAGTCAGCCGGGCAGCCCACTGCCAGAAAGATCTGCTTTTCACTCGTTGCTTCCTTCAGGAGTTGACAAACATGCCTCATCGTGATCAATACTGCCTCCCAGTGGAGCCCTGGGTGGGGGCCAAGCACTGGGCGAGGGCTTCATGGCCTCTTATTTTCTCATTTTCTCTTATGGCTGTCCTGAGAGGGAGGCAGGACGGGGACCATCATACCCATCTTAGAGAAGAAAATAACTGAGACTCAGAGTTTAGTCATTTAACCAAATTTCTTAGCTGATAGGTCCTTGGGTAAGGATTATAATACTGCTCTATCTGCCTTCAAAGTCTATGGTTTCCCCCCCTTTTTTTTTAAGATAGGATCTTGTTCTGTCACCCAGGCTGATGCAATAATAGCTCACTGCAGCCTTGATCTCCTGGGCTCAAGCTATCTTCCCATCTCAGCCTCCCAAATAGCTGGGACTACAGGCATGCACCACCACGTCCAGCTAATTTTTTTTCTACTTTTTGTAGAGATGAGGTACACTATATTGCCCAGACTGGTCTCAAACTCCTGCCCTCAAACTGATCCTTCTGCTTCAGCCTCCCAAAGCGTTGGGATTATAGCATGAGACACCATACCTGGCTGATTTTCAAGTATTCATAATACTTTGTATTAACAATATTTGTTATATTTATAATACTGTCATTAATATATTTATAATATATAGCATATAATTATTTCTTGATAACAAATATAAATATTTCCAGCAACTATTGTTACATTGATAATATTAGCAACTAATGGCTATTTAAATGAATGAGTGAACAAGCTAATGTGTCATTTGTAGCTGATCTCTATCATTTGAGGATGGATTTAATATGGCAAACGGCCCAGTTTGTGAGGGAGCAGTCTGGAGCCAGGCAGATGACCAAGGAAAGACATTTAAAGCTCAAAAGCAGAGAAAAACCATGTACCGTACAACGGCTGAGTACAGAGTTTGGAAGACTACAGTCTGTTTTTGTCAATAGGACTTTATTGGTCTATTTGCTTATGTATTGTCTGTGGTTGCTTTCCTGCTCTGGCAGCAGAGTTGGGTAGCTGTGACAGGCTGCATGGCCCAACGGAACTGAAATATGCACCATCTGCTCCTTTACCAAGAAAGTTTGCCCACTCTGGCTTAGCCTGTGAGCTCCACAGTCAGAGCCCAAGCTCATGTCCAGACTTCACCACTGCACACCTTGAGACTTAATTAATCTCTCTGTGCACAAAGTAAGTGCTCAGTAAACGCAATCACTACCCGTAATTCATCACCATTAACCACCACCACATCATCATCCTCATCACCATCAGTATCACCAACACCATCCCATTGTCATCATCATCACATCATCACTGCCATCACCATATCATCAGCATCATCATTGTCACCATAATATTATCATCACCACATCACGATCATTGTCATCACCATTGTAACGTCACCATCGCTATCATCAGCCACCGTGAAGGCAGGTCCCCGGAAAAGATACACTCTGCCTCTGTGGCATCTGCACATCACGATGTCAGGTGGGTTATCTCAACTGCCCCCAGATGCTCCAAGGTTGGGAGTGGGCAGTTAGGGTGGGGCTTGGGGAGGAGGCTCCCTGGACCCCAGGCAAGAAGACTTTTTAAAACTGTTTTTCAGTTCCTGGCCTTGGCCAAAAAATCTCTTCCTGGTGTGGCTTGGCCCCTGCTGCCCCCCTTCTCTCAGGACGAACCTCACTAGTTGAGAACAAAGCTGGATTTTAATAATCCCCATGCCATCTGCTCAGACCCGCCTGTGGCGGCTTTCCCATCAGCACCCCTCTCCTCCTGTGGTGACCCAAATCTCAGGGGAAGCCCAGCCTTCTGACGCATTTGCCTCCCCTAGCCTCTCCCTCAGTCTCAGGTCCCACCTGGGGAGCGACAGGCACTGGCAGCTCCCATGCGAGGGAGCTGGGATGTGCCAGGGAAGCCAGGAGGCCCCTTTGTTTGAGGCATCAAAGAGGAGCATGAAGTGGAGAAACCAAATGCCTGAGCAGATGCCCAGGAAGCCATGTGAAGCAGAGGGAGGGGTGGGTACCGCTGGCTGCTCAGGCCTTTCCCTCCCAGGACCTGTCTCCCTGGACACAGCCCAGCCTACTCCAGGGAGCTAAGGCACCCTAGTAAGCCAGGGTGTCCCAAGGCGCTCGCTAGGCAGGATTAGCTCCCTGGGGGGTTTCGGTGGTGGGTGGGCCAGGGAGTTTGGGAAACACTGGGTTAAACAAATGAATATTCCATGCACAGATGGATTTCTTGCAGCCTTTAAAATGCTAATGGGCTTTATGAATGGGGCAGGAAGGGAGGGGCAGAGGAAGCAGGAGTGTCTCCCCAACTCCTTTCAACCCAGAAGCCTTCCGCACCCCCATCCCCATGGGGACTTCTGGACCCACTAGTGGCTAACAGAACATGCTGAGAAAGGTGGTTTCACATTGTCCCCCTCATTCTTTCTGGGGTAATTTCTGGTCACCTCAGCTCTCCCAGATCCCTCTGCAGCTGAAATGGGGGAACGGGGTTGGGGGAAGGTGGCAAAAGGGCTGCAAATGCAGTGAGATCACCATGAACTCAGGCCAGAGGCCCACTCAGAGAACAGAGGCTGCCAGTGCCTTGGGATCAGCCTGGCGCCCAGGCCCACAGCCAGCTGCCTGCTCTCACCCCAGGCCCCTGGCTCCAGATCCACTGGTGTCCCAGGCCAGGCCAAGGGACACCATGCTCAGCCCCCACCTGCAGATCCTGGGTAGTCAGTTTAGATCTGCTAGAGAGTGTGGTGTTAATGGTGGGTTTCAGAGCTTCATTGTTGGTTTGAAGCTTTTTTGATCTTAGGCAAGTGACTTTACCTCTTTCCCAACTGCCAGGTGCCTAGGACAGCAGCCAGTAAACATCACACTACCATTCTTACTACTATAACCACCATCTACCTGTCTCTCACCACACCCAGTGCCAGGGCCTGAGTCAGACCTACCCAGCATGGGGTGAAGAACACCATTTAAGTCCCAGCTTTACCTCTTTCACCAGCTGTGGGATGCTAAGCAACATCTCACAGCTTCAGAACAGCTTCAGAAACTGGTTGAGCCTCAGTGTCTGCATGTAGAGAGGATCAAATGAGCTGACCTTGGCAGGGCACAGTGGGTCACACCTGTAACCCCAGCTCTTTGGAAGGCCAAGGCGGGAGGATCACTTGAGGCCAGGAGTTCAAGACCAGCCTGGGCAACATAGCAAGCCCCCATTTCTACAAAAAATTGAAACACATTAGCTGGGCATGGTGGTGCAGGTCTGTAGTCCTAGCTACTCAGGAGGCTGAGGCAGGAGGTTGCCCGAGCCCAGGAGTTGGAGGCTAAAGTGAGCTATGATCGTGCTGGTGCACTTCAACCTAACAGAGTCAGATCCTATCTCAAAGAGAGAAGAGAGAGAGAGAGAGAGAGAGAGAGAGAGAGAGAGAGGTGACTGTTAGGCTGGGGCCTGGCCCCTTTTGCTACTCAGCGAATGTTGTCTCCCTCTCGTGGGCTCACCTATTGCTGCCCACCCAGCCACCCACCCACTGAGCCTGGCCTGGGTATCCAGGGCAGCAGCCCAGCTCCCTCCCAGGTACATCCATGCCTCCTTTTGTGGGCTCTGACCAGAGTGAAGGGACTCAGCAGGACCGGGAAAGTCATGTTTGCCTGGCTGCCCAGCCAGAGGGGCAGAACGGTCTCTGTGACCTGGGCTTCCTACGAGGGATCTCAGCAGGATACCACCCCTGGGTCTCCTGAGCCTTCAGGGTAGCATGCACAGAGTCCTGGACAGAAGGAAGAAGCTCGGGAGGCTGGAATGCAGTGACCCTCAGGCCCCGAGGGACCCAGGCGAGTCCCCTACCAGCTCTGGGGTCCCTTGTTCTCTTCTGCCCTGTATTGCTCCCCCAGGGCAGCTGTGAGACTGTTATGAGGGGAGAGAGTCATCCTGCCTCAGCAGAGTTCAGCTAAACTGTGCTCCTTTTGTCTTAGGGACAGCCCTCAGCCAAGCACTCATTTTCCCAGGAAGCGGTGCCGAACCCTTCCCACTCTCCCTCCTGCGGCACACACACACACACACACACACACACACACACACACACACACACACACACTCATGAGCCAGGGCCTGTGTGCCAGGCTGGCCTGGGTGACTGTTCACAGGAAGGTCCTGAGTCCTGGGAGGCCAGCGGCACCCACGAGGAGGCACCACCGCCATGCTCCCATGTCCACCTTTGCCTGCACTGTGCCTGGCGCTCACAAAACATCTTTATAGTAACAGTATTCCCCAACTCTCATGAAGTGCCTGCTGAGCACCAGGTGAGTGCTTTCCTCATCCTGACTCTACCCTTACACGAGGACAGGAAGGAAGGGAGAGAGGGAGGCAGGAACGCTCCAAGCCTCCAGCCCTGACCCTCCATGACCTTCAGCAGCCTCTACCCACACTGGGGCCCCAGTTTCCCAGTCTGTAAAATGGGAAAGCTGAAGGGTTTGGGCCTGATGACCAGTTCCTCTCTCCTCAGACCTTCTAGGTGTCTGCAGCCAGGAGAGTGTGATTTTCCCCAGAAAGGATGGCCCATTGAGCCCCCCCTCTGCTCCCCTCCCCTACTCCTCTGCCCTTTCTGTCCCTGGATCTGGCTCAGCAGTTCAGAGAGCTGGAAGGAGCTTCCTTAGGGCCCAGGAGGAAGGTCTGATCAGCCCCCATTTATCAACAGGCTGAATGAGGTGGGAGGGGTGGGAGAGAGTCTCCTGGTCCCAGAGCAGGCCTCTTTCTGTTTCCTCACCAAGGCGCCTCCCATGTGCCCCAAGCACCTTTAGATGTTGACAGCAACAGCCTTGGTGGGGGGAGGGGTCAGGGAGCATGACAGAGGCGGGATGGGGGGCGGGGGTGTCTGTGTCTCTGCACCTCAGCTCCCACCCCCTCCTCCACTGCTACTTGATGGGGCAAGAGGGGGCTACAGAGAAAACAGGAAGCCACGAGGGGCCACAACAGGTCTCACTTCCTGTCTCACTCAGAAAAGAGGAAGGTTCCGAGTGCAGAATTCACAGCTATCCCCCAAGACACGGTGGGGACTGGGGTGGGTGGTGGGTTCCCCCTCCCCATTCCCCCTGCCTCATAGGGAGTCCAGGAGAGGGGCTGTGGGTGAGGCGGTGGGGATGGAAGAATCAGGCCCTGAAAACAAGAATCAGGGGCTGAGTAGAAATTCTGTGCTACTCAAGGAAGCAGCAAAGAGGGCCCAAATAACTTCCTTAAGGTCACATAGCTGGTTAGTAACAGAGGCAGAAGTTGAACCCAGGTGGTTGTACTCCAGAGCCCATCTAGAAGGCGAGAGCTCCTGGTGAAATTCGGGCACTCAATCGACGGTAAAGGAGACAGCCACAGGGGTACCTTGGGGTAGAACGAGAACTGAGGTTCCACTGTTGCCAGGGACTCAAAGGATGCAGGGGGCAGTGGCCATTCTCTAGGACTAGGGGAAGGTGTCACCTCCTAGTCATCCCGGGCCCATGTCTCCCCCTATCCCAGCCTGGTACCTTGGCCCCAAGGCGTAGCTGGTCGATGGTGTTCTCGGCCTCGGCATACTTGGTGAGAAGCTTGTGGTAGTCCTCCTGCAGGAAATGGAGAGCAACACAGTTACACAGCACACGCCTCCTGTCTGTGAGATCCTGGCAGGCAGACCCCCCCATGGGGGCTTCTGGGTTCCTCGGTGGTGGGGGTTGAACAGATAGTTTCAGGCTCACATGCAATGCAGACTTCAACACCAAATTCCAGAGTCAGAGGCAGCAGGACAACTGGTCTACCAGTCCCAACTGTGAGTCTGAAGGGAGGTTGGTCTACCTCGATGCATGACTTCCATCACACAAGGCTGCCACGATTTTACTTCCCCCCTCCCTGCCGTCTATCAACTCTGCAGGATGAGGCCATATCTGTCTTCCTTACTGCTCTATAGTCAATGCTTCAGAGGTATTTTTTAATGTCCGATTGAACGAATCGCCCAAGAGTTCCACAGTAGAAAAACAGGAGACTTGAAAACAGTTCCACCAACTCAGAGTCAATCACCTTAAACAAACCCGAAGAACTTTATTAAAACAAGTCGTCACAGGGAAAAAAGCAAAAGCAAATGTCATAGTCCCCTGTGACGGACACAAGGGAGCTGACTCATTGCTCTGAAAACAACCAACTAGGAGGACAGAAAGGAGCATCCCTTGTCTTTCCCATACAAACAAGAACCTGCTAACCAAAGAGTTGACCAGGAAAATGTTTACTTTTTAGAGGATTTCTGGCAAGTAACATAGACGGAGTGAGAGCATTGTCATACTACCATTCTGTCACCCCAAACGAAGGCCTGGATTAAAGCGATGACCATCAGTGGCTGCTAAATCACTACTAGTACCAAGAAAAAGAGAGGGCAAGGGGAGGCTTGAAGGGACACCACAAAGCCTAGGATGTGGGCAGCTCCTCTATGGGGCAGACTAACTTCCTCAACAAGTAAGTTGCAAGGAAGAAGAAGGAGGGAGAAAAAACAGAGTAAAAGAAACTTGAAAAAAAAAAGCAAAAAAAAAAAAAAAAGAAGAAGCAGCAGCAGCAGCAGCAAACAAAGAGGGGGAGGAGAGACACGAAAGGTTCACTGAACACTGACCAAATGCAATACACGAGACAAGTACAGATCCTGACTCACACTAACCAAAATGAACAAGCCACTTAGGATACACAAGGAGAGATCTGAACACTGGTGTCATACCTAAGAATTAGCATGAATGTACAGGTATGATCGTGATATCATGATTGGGTTTAAAACAGGGTCTGCATCTTTAGACATATACACACTAAAGTGCTTTTAGATAAAATGATTAGATGTCTGAAATATTCCTTTGGAATACTCCAGTGGGGCGTGGGTGGGGAGAAGTAAGGCCACAGATGAAAAGTGTTGTCAGGAGTGGTTAATTGTGAATGCTGGGTGGTGGGTAGTGGGAACTTATTACATTATTTTCTCTCTTGTATATGTCTGAATTTTTTTAATGGTAGAAGTTGAAAGCCAACAGACATTAGATCATCCTTGACCCATGAGCACAATCACTGTTCTTTTTGAGCCAAAGGGCTTGGGTCTATCTTAGGGCCTGGGTACACCCTGCCTCCACCAGCAGGAGGCCCCGGTCCCAGACCCCGGGCCTCCCCACCCCTAAAAGCCTCCATTCTAGGCCAAAAGGTGCCTTGGAGACACACCCAAAGACGTGGGTCCTGCTCACCTGGAGCTGATGGACCAGCTCAGTGGCTTGTTCGGGTGTCTGAAACTCTTGGGGAACTGTGGTGGTAGAGTGGGCAGAAGGTGGGTCCTTCGCCACGGCTGCTTCTCCACTGCTCAACAGCACTTCCCGTACAATCTCTGCCGGTGACTTGAAGATGAGGGGCCTGGTAGGGCCCTGAGGCTGCTTGTTGTGGCTTCTGGACTTGGGGGGCCGGTAGCTCTCATCTTTGGGGAACCTCACGCGGGGCCCCACCTTGGAGAAGTCAGGGAGTGGGTAGTTCAGCTGTCCCCGGCCATACTTGGAAGTATCAGAAGAGGAGCGGCCAGCCAGAGTGGCTCCCTGCCTGGGCGGCCGCCTGCCCTGCCAAGCTAGCCTAGATGGAGGATTCAGGGGGCTGATGGAGCCGGTGAAACGGGAAGGGAGCGGCTTAGGTGATGTCTTTGTTGGCTTCTGGGTTTGGTCCTTGGGCTGGGGGTGGGAGAGGCTGGTGGTTCCTCTCCTCCATCTATGTGCAGCGCACTGGGGGCTCTGGGATGGGGGTACCGAGGAGTCCTGGAACTCTGCGGGGGTTGCCCGAGCAACACTGCCTCCAGTTCTGTCATCTGGGTGTAGGAGGTGGAGGCTGGGGCTCTGTGGCAAGGTCTCTGCCAGGGCAGCGGGCTGGGGGACGTCAGTCTCTCCTTCCCAGGTGGAGTCAAGGCTGTCACTAGGGTGGTCGAGGCTCACAGTTCCGCTGCTCCAGGACCTTGTGGGGCTGAGCTCAACAGATGGGTTGGCTTCAGAATGTTCTGAAAGTTTGCTTCCGCCGGTTTGTTTGTTGGAGGCCACCCAGCCCCTGGCCCACCCCTGCCCAAGAGCCATGGGGCTGGTCTTTCCGTTGCCCTCAGAGCTGAGACCAGTCTCGGACCCTGACCTTGGGGAGTTTTCTTCAGCTTCCTCAGCCTCCAGATTCCTAATGGCCCCATCTGGTTCCTCTTCAGTCATGTCCAATTGATGGTCCCGGTGGGGGAGCCAGTTGGAAGGCAAGGTGGAACTGTCTGGGCTATCCACATCCTCTGCTTCAGTCTCTGGAAGACAGGTTGTTCATTGCTTAGCATATACCAAGACCACACTCATCATATAGCAGAGCTCTGAATCACATTAGCTCTCTGGCTTCCATTTCCTCGCTATGCGGAGGTGGCAAGAATCCCACTGAGCCCCCCATCTGGCCAAGTGCTTATCTGATACCTCCTCTATTATCTTATAGTTCCTTAACTCAACCCCAAACCTGCTGGGTGGTCCCTCCAGGGTTTCCCCCTCCAGTTGCACAAGCCAGAAGCCTGGTAGGTACCTTTGCTGTCTCTCCCCCTGGTCCAACCGAATCTGTCACCTGGCCCTGTTGCATTACCTTCCATAGAGCTTGCAAGCTCATGTTCTGCTCTGAAGTTCACCACCACCACCTGCACTCATGTCACATCCTCTCTTACCTGGATCACTGCAGTAGCCACCTAAGCGTCTCCTCCATCATCACCCTCATCCTCCATCTGAAAACTTACCCATATCATCCTGTTGTTCCCAGAACAAAGGAGGAACCTTCAGGGGTCCTAAGGTCTCTGCCACTCTGGTCCCTCAAGCTCTCTTGACCCATCTCTTTTTTTTTTTTTTTTTTGAGTTGGAGTCTCACTCTGTCGCCCAGACTGGAGTGCAGTGGCCACTCCCGGCCACCGCAGCCTCGACCTGCCGGGCTCCAGCGATGCTTCCGCCTCAGCCTTCCAAGTAGCCGGAATTACAGGCATGCGCTACCACGCCCGGCTGATTTTTTGATTTATTGTAGAGATGAGGTCTCGCTGCCCAGGTGGGTCTCGAACCCGTGGGCTCAGGCAATCCACTCATCTCAGCCTCCCAAAGGCGCGGGATTACAGGCTGAGCCACCAAGCCCGGCGGCCCATCTCTTTCCATGGCCCCTCAGGCTCTCCCTGCTCCAGCCAAGCATGCACACACCACGTTCCCACCCACCAGAAGGAAGAGTACCCCAGGCTCGTTTTTCTGATGGGTACTCTCTCCCTTCCTTCGCCTTAACTCCTATCTGTCCTTCAGGTGTTCACTCAACATTTACCTCATCAAGGAAGTCTTAGATCTCCCTGGCTATGTCAAATCCTCCCTTTTCTAGGCTCATATAGGACTGGCTGCCACTACTTTGTAATAATTACCACAGTGTTTTCCATTTATTGATGTAATTGTTTCATTCGTATTTGTCTCCCCCACAACACTGCAAGCTCTAGGGCAACAGCTTTTTGTTCATGATTACATTTGCAGAGTTGGTTTCCAATACTATTTGTTGACTGAATAGAAAGAAGAAAATAAAGGGAAAAGTGGGGGGCGGGGGGAGGAAAGTATGGCATTTAAAGCTACCAGGAAATGGATAGTTACTATAAATATTGCAGTGTAGGTACTCGAGAAATATTTATCCATCCATCCATCCATCCATCCATCCATCCATCCATCCATCCATTCAACCATCCTTCCTTTCAACCACCCATCTATCATCCATCCATCCAACCATATATACATCCATCCATCCAATCATCCTTCATTTCAACCACCCATCCATCCACTTATCCACTCACCCATCTATCATCCATCCATCCATCCATCCTTCCTTTCAACTATCCATCCATCTACCTTCCCACTCACCATCTATCATCCATCCAAACATTTAGTCATCCAATCATCCATCCTGTCAACCATCCATCCATCTACCTGGCCACTCACTCATCTATCATCCCTATCTATCCATGCAACCAACCATTCTTCCTTTCAACTCTCCACCCATCCACCCGCCAGCTCACTCATCTATCATCCATCCATCCATCCAAACTATCTTTCCTTTCAACCATCCATCCATCTACCCGCCCAGTCACCTATCATCCATCTGATCATTCTTCCCTTCAACCATGTACCCACTCACCCATCTATCTCTATCTGTCCATCCAATCATCCTTCCTTTCAACCACCTGTTCACCCACCCACTCACCCATCTACCATCCATCCATCCAGGCATGCTTCCTTTCAACCATTCATCCACCCACCCACCCACTCACCCACCTATCACCCATCCATCTACTCATCCATCCATCTGTACATCATCTATGCAGTTAACGTTTATTGAGCACTTACTCTTTTCTAGATCCTGTGTTGGTCTCTGGGATATGTTTAAAATTTCATGGGCACCCCCAAGCCTACACTCTCTGCTTTGGCCAGATGCACCTTTGTCACAACACTTATATCAATTTCTGTTCCTCTGTATGCTTTCCCCTAACCTTGAAACCCCTACATCCCTTAGCTACCTAAAATCTTCCTCAGTGAGTCACTTTTGTTTACAGTAGCACACCTGAAGTCCAGAGAGGTTAAGTAACTTGCCAACGATCACAGAGTAGTTCAGAGCAGTCCTGGACCTAGAACCCAGGCCCTGGTCATGCAGGCAAGTCTACCTCTGCCACTAGGGGCCTTGCAGTAGAGTGAAGAGCATGGGCTTTGGAATCAGAGAGCCCTGTGTTCAATCCTAACTTCTGTGACCCCTCACTGGAGCCCTGAGTAAGTCCCTGACCTCACTGGCAGTCCTTATTCAACCTGGGGCTAGCCCCTCCTACCTGGCAGAGGGTGGTATGAAGAGAAGGAGAGAGACCAGGCCCTGCCCAGCCCTGTGACTGGCACACAGTAAGGGCAAAGGACATGGCAGCAGCTGTTACATCACAGCAGGGGTTACCATGTGACTGTGACCCAGGAAGAGATGCCTCTACTCTGTCACCCAGTGCATCTCAGTCACTACTCCCTAATGGGGAACTCAGAAGTGGTTCCCGAGTGGACAGCTGTAGGCCAACTCTGCTGTAAGCAGAACTGTGTATAAAACTTTGAGGAATGGCATAATCCCAGTTAACAGCTTCTCCACCACCCACATGGACCTGCAGGACTCATAGGATCCTAAAACAAGGGCATTGTGTCCATAACTTATGTGCAATAACTACCACGGGTCGAGCTCTTACTATTCTTGACAGTATCATGACTCCCATTTCACAGATAGAAAATCAAGATTCAGACAGAAGGGACTTGCCAAGCAAAACTAGGAATTTAGTCTAAGTTGGTCTGGATGCAAAGGGAACACAGTTATATTGTAGAAAACAAGGTATTCCCGTTGCTAATTGGTATTTTAAAAAATGGACACAACCCCTGGACCAAGTAATTCAAATGACCAAAGAGATGATCAAATCAAGTGTGCAAAGATGTATTAATGACATTCTATCTCTGCCTTATTTTTTTTTTTTGAGTTGGAGTCTCACTCTGTCGCCCAGACTGGAGTGCAGTGGCCGCTCCCGGCCACCGCAGCCTCGACCTGCTGGGCTCCGGTGATCCTTGCGCCTCAGCCTTCCAAGTAGCCGAACTACAGGTGCACGCTACCACGCCCGGCTGATTTTTTGATTTATTGTAGAGATGAGGTCTTGCTGCCCAGGCGGGTCTTGAACCCGCGGGCTCAGGCAATCCACTCACCTCAGCCTCCCAAAGGCGCGGGATTACAGGCTGAGCCACCGAGCCCAGCTTGCCTTATTTATAATAGTAAAACCCAGGAACCCCCAACATGCCCAGCAGAGGAGGTTGGTTTGACAAACTACAGGAGATCCACACTGTGAAATCCTACGCAGACGTAAGGAATGACTTGTGGAAGGGGGTTTGGTGAACTGTGAAACTCTTCCCATCTATCAAGTTAACAAAAAGCAGGTTACAATGGCGTGTGTAGAATACTGTTCCATATTCATATATATTTGCATATCTACACATAACGAAAAGAGTTATTATCTGGGGATGGGATAAGTCATTTTAAATTTTACCTATTTTTTGCTTACATCTTCTGACTTTCTTGCAGTCAAAACAGTATTACTTATGCAATTTAAAGCTTTTAAAATTGCAAATTACAGACTTTGTAGAATTCATTTAAAACTCTAAAGCTGTCCCCACCTCCCTCTCCCTGCCAGGTGGGGGATGTTTGGGGGGCAAGTCAGGACTGTGGGGGAGTCAACCTCACCTTCTCCTGAAGACCCTCCTGACTCGGAATCCTGTGGCCCATCAGGCTGTGGGTCTGGGTCCCACCCTGGCGGCGGGAGGCGCTGCTGTGCCAGGCGGAAGTCCTCTAGGAACCCAGGGCTGGTGACTTCGGGAAGGGGCCCCTCTTGCCCCCAGCCTTGTGCCCCTCCTCTCTCAGCGTCTTCCTCCTCCTCAGCCCAGGTCCAGCGCCGCCTCTGGGGCTCCTTCCCCAGGCCAGGCTCCGTCCATTGGATCTCGGTCCCCGAGCTGGCCATCGGGGCTGGCCTGGGCTTCACCTGGGCCTCTTCATCTTCATCAGGGGACAGAGCTGCCGCAGGGGGCCCCAGGGTCACCGCTGGCTCCTTTCAACACCAACCATCCTGCCTGCAGCCTGTGGGGACACAATCAAGGAGTGACATCAGCCCTCAAATCCCTGCTTTATTCAAAAGAAGGGACCAGCAGTGACTCTTCAGTCAGACTGCCGTGGTTCGGCTCCTGGATCCGTCCTCCTGAAGCCATGTAACCTTGGGCAAGTCTCTCTACTTTTGTTTTCCTCACCAGTGAAACTGGGACAATAATTCTCTCTCTCTTCAGAGTTTTATAATCTAGCTGAGACATAGGAAGAGGGGCCCAGCGGCCAGCGCACTGACCAATAGGTGTTCAGTGTGTGCTAGCTACTGTTAAGCATACCCAGCTCCACACAAGGGCACAGGGCACAGGTACTGCCCACAGGAGAACTGATGGCCCCAGAGGAAGCAAAGAGATCACCAGGCAAGGACAAATCCAGATGGGATGTGATAGGGGAGTCTAGGGCTGGGCCTGACACAGGCTGGGGAGGTCAGGAAAGACACAGTCTAGACGCCACTTCTGGGAACCTTCCCTGACCTCCCTTGGGTGGAAATTCAGATGGAGAAGTAGGGGAATGGTGAAAAGAGCATGCCAGTACCCTCGAGAACTGAAGACATGTACTCAAACACATATACCCATACATGTTCACAGCAGCACTGCTCACGATTGCCAGAAGGAGGAAGCGACCCAAATGCCACTCAACAGATAAATGGATACACAATTTCTGGTGTCTGTATACAATGTAATATTCTTCAGTCATAAAAAAGAATGAAGACCAAAAAAAAAAAAAAAAGGAATGAGGCTGGGCATGGTGGCTCATGCCTGTAATTCCAGCACTTTGGGAGGCTGAGGCGAGAGGATTACTTGAGTCTAGGAGTTTGATACCAGCCTGGGTAACATAGCAAGACCTCATCTCTACAGAAAATCAGAAAATTATCCAGGCATGGTGGTGCCCACCTGTAGTCCCAGCTACTCAGGAGGCTGAGGCAGAAGGATCATCTGAACCCAGGAGGTTGAGGCCGAGGTGAGCCATGAACCCTGTCACTTCACTCCAGCCTGGGTGGCAGAGTGAGAACCCTGACACACACACACACACACACACACACACACACACACACACACACACACACACAAACACACAGAAGTCTCGACACATGCTACAATGCAGAAAACCTCAAAAACATTATGCTACCTGAAGACACCGGACATAAAAGGCCACATATAGGGAGGCTGAGGTGAGTGGATTGCCTGAGCCCGCGGGTTCGAGACCCGCCTGGGCAGCGAGACCTCATCTCTACAATAAATCAAAAAATCAGCCAGGCGTGGTAGCGCGCGCCTGTAATTCCGGCTACTCGGAAGGCCGAGGCGGAAGGATCGCTGGAGCCCAGCAGGTCGAGGCTGCGGTGGCCGGAAGTGGCCACTGCACTCCAGTCTGGGCGACTGAGTGAGACTCCAACTCAAAAATAAAATAAAATAAAATAAAAGGCCACATAAAGCTGATCCCATAGATATGAAAAGTCCAGATAGGAATATCCAAAGAGAGAGAAAGCAGATTGGTGTTTGCCAGGTGCTGGGATAAGGGGGAGTAGGTAGTAACAGCTTAATGGGCATGGGGTTTCCTTCTGGGGTGATGAAAGTGTTTTGCAACTAGACAAAGGTGGTGAGTACACAACAATATGAATATACGAAATGCCACTGGATTGTCTATCTTAAAAAAGTTTTGTTACGTGAATTTCACCTCAATTTTTTTCAAAAGCCTTCCAGGCAAGAGGACCTGGGTGGGGAGCGAGGCTGCCAGGGGATTTCCTGGACACAGAAGTGGTCTCCCCAGTGGCTGTGGTATGAACACAGGGGGAGTCCTATCAGGGGTGCAGCTCTGGGGAAAGAACCAGGACGGAGAAGCCCGGTCAGAGCCTGGCTATACTGTGGCAGGGGCAGGGGCAGGGTGGGGGCAGGGGCAGGGCGGCGAAGGGCTCCTCCCCTGTCTTCCTTCCTCCTCCCCTGTCTTCCTCTCCCTCTTTCCCTCTTTTCCTCCTCCCTCTCATCTCCTTTTGCCTCCTTCCTTCCCAGCCTCCTGCTATTTACCCAAACGTTCCCTCTGCACCCAGCACAGCACCAAGCCCAGGAAACAACATAGCCACAGAGCTTTGAGTTCCACCAGGGAGTACCAAGCCACGGAAGTTTCAAGAACCGGAGCACGTCAGCACAGTGGGGCTGCCGGGTCTGCTTGTGCAAAGGCCTACTTCTGCAGATGGGGAAACTGAGCTCCAGAGTGGGGAGGGGTCTCACTCAAAGGTGCACATGGGTCAGCCTCCTGGCCCATGATCTGGGCTCTTCTCTCCTGGCTGTGGTCAAGTGGAGCAAGACTCCAGGCTTCCCAGGACAGACAAGGCTGTTTGTCCCTTTAGCCTCATGAGCACTTGGATCCTGCTCAGGAGACTTGATGTGTGCAGTTGAGAAAAGTCAGCAGGCAACTATTTCTGGACACAGAGTTCCCCAGGGAAAAGTGCTGCCCAGGAAAGGCTGACTTTTCAAGGGCTAGGGTGGAGACAGGGAGTAACATTCTTCCCTCCTGGGTTGCACCCCCTGTCCTGTAGATGAGGGCTCGGGGTTTTTCTCTTCTCTCCCCACCAGTTCATCTCTCTGCCGCCCCAACACAGAGCCCTAGAATGTCCCCCAGAACACCCTGCATGATGTCTTCTGGCCCGAGTCCCTACCACATGTGTTGTGTCTACTCCACGCCAGCCTACCTATAGGATTTACCTACATGATCTCAATCTGCCTTCCCCACAAACGTGAGGGTAGGTCATAAGAAAACTATTTTTCAGATGACAAAACTGAAGCTTTGTGTGTAGTGACTTGGCCAAGAACACCCAGCTGGTTAGTGCCAGGGCAAGATTTGCAACAGTCAATTTTGGCTCAGTGGTTTCCAATTGAAAATTTTTTTTTTTTTTAGAAATGGGGTTTGCTCTGTCACCCAGGCAGGAGTTTAGTGGTGAGATCATAGCTCACGGCAACCTCGAACTCCTGGGCTCAAGTGATCCTCTTGCCTCAGCCTCCTGAGACACTGGGACTAGAAGCATGAGCCACCATGCTCAGCTATTTTATCATTTTAGGGAGTGGGTCTTGCTAATGCTGCCCAGGCTAGTCTCAAACTCCTGGCCTCAAGTGATCCTCCTACCTCAAGATTTTTTTTGAATCACACAATCCATTGGTAATAATATATTTGTTTACCTACCAATAGATATATATTCCTTACAACTTTACATACATGTATTCTCACGCTAATATAGTACATGTATCAGAAAGAATATTTCCAAAAGTGAATTTTTTAAAAGGTGCAATAGAAAATAAAATACAGGTGGCCCTTGAACAACCTGAGTTTGAACTACTGGGATCCACTTACACATGGGTCTTCTCCCGCCTCTGCCACCCCTGAGACATCAAGACCAACCCCTCCTCTTCCTCCTCCTCCTCAGCCTTTTCAACCTGCAGACAAGGAGGATGACGACCTTTGTGACGATCCACTTCCGCTTAAGGAACACTCCACACATTTCCTCTCCCTTATGATTATCTTAATAACATTTTCTTTTCTCTAGTTTACTTTATTGTAAAAATATAATACATAATACATATGACACGCAAAATATGTGCCAATCGACTGTTGTCACCCTTAAGGCTTCTGGTCAGCAGTAGGCTACTAGTAGCTAAGTTTTGGGGCACTCAAAAGTTACACACAGATTTTTTGACTGCAGGAGGATTGGCACCCCTAACATGTACATTTTCAAGGGTCAGCTGTACTTATTTATTTGTTTATTTTTTTGAGACAGGGTCTTACTCTGTCACCCAGGCTGGAGTGCAGTGGCATGATCCTGGCTCACCAGGGTCTCGACCTCCTGGGATCAGGTGATCCTTCTACCTCGGACTCCCAAGTAGCTTGGATTGCAGATGTGCACCACCATGCCTGGCTAATTTTTGTATTTTTTGTAGAGACGAGATCTTGTTACGCTGCCCAGGCTAGTCTCAAACTCTTGGGTTCAAGTGATTCTCCCGCCTCAGTATCCCAGAGTGCTGGGATCACAGGTGTGACCTACTGCACCAGGTCTCAACTATATTTTAAATAGAAGCTCTAATCCGTGCTTCCCCTACCTTCCACGGGGCCTGTACGTCTCCTGGAAATCCCTGGCAGTGATCTTAAGCTGGGGTGTGCTTAAGAATCATCTAGGCACGCAGATTCCTGGGTCGACCCCAGAGAGCCTGACTCAGTGGTCCTGTGACAGGGCCTGGGACTCCAATTTAAACCAGGGCCTCAGCAGGGCCAGCCCTGTGATGCTAGCTGGGCCCTCTAGCTCCTGTTCAGATGCAGGTGTAGGAGGGGCGACGTTTCAGTCGTTGCTTTTCTTTTTCGGAAGCCTCTTCTGAGGAAAGGGCTGGGGGAGGCGTGCGGTTTTTTGACTTTTTAAAGGGCTTTTTTCTAGCCCTGCCACAGAGCAGCCCGCCCAATCACAGAAGCCTCTGGGCACACAAAGAGGAACATCCTGTCTTCTGGGATGACTCAGTCATCATAGAAATCTCACTGTGACCAGGGGAAGGCGCACATCAGAGGCAGCTGTGGTTACTGACATTTGTGCCTTGGGCCCTTAAACCTGTGGGCCTCTTCTGAGCAAGGCCTTTGTCTTCCAGGCAAGCCACAGCCCTTGGCGCCATGGAGTCCCAGAACTGGTCAGTCAGCAAGTCAGTCAACAAACACATATTAGTGCCAACTTCAGGTTGGGACCATGCTGTGATGGAGAAACAGGCTGGACATCAGGAGTTAGGTTCCAGCCCTGACTGCTGCTGTTATGATGCATGGCTGGTCTTATATTTTCCTCACCGTAAAATGGAGAAAACACCAACTACTCTTGCTACTGGAAGGAAGTATCACCCTGCTTGGGTGGGTTGGGAGGCAGGAGAGGGGGCTAGAAGACCCTGAAACTCCCAGTTGACTCAGCTCCAAGGGTAACAGCATCAGAATTGTTCATCTCTCTCCTCCTCCGTGAGGTCATAACTTTTAAAGTATAAAGATACGTCAGTTTAGGCAACACAGCGAGACCTCATCTCTACAAAAACTTTTAAAAACAATTAGCTGAAGCCGGGCTCGGTGGCTCAGCCTGTAATCCCGCGCCTTTGGGAGGCTGAGGTGAGTAGATTGCCTGAGCCCGTGGGTTCGAGACA